GGGGGGGGGGGGGGGCTGCAGGGAGCGGGTTAGTGTCCAGGAGCGGCCGGGCCCAGGCCCTGCCTCTGCTCACCGTTAGTGCAGGCGCCAGGCGGGGTACGTACCTCACTGAATCACACAGAGTCTTTTTGTTTTATTATCGTCAGAGTCAGGGACAACCTCTGCTTCCAAATAAGAGAAACGCACTCAACGGCTTATTCCTGACCCACCCTGAGCTGGGAGCTGGACGCCGAGCCAAACACGGCCGGGCCTCAGGCGGCCCCTGGCTGACGGCCCCACCTGCCACTCCCTGCCTGAGGTCGCGCAAAGCGGTTGCCAGTGGGCCAGGGGCACGGCCACTCGGCAGCGGCCCCACAGTCGCCCTTCCCGCCCGCGGAAGGTGGGGCTGTGGCCTCCTTCCCCCAGGCCTTGGGGACGCTCTTGGGGGGGGGGAGGGGGGCAGGGGATGAGGGCCACTTGCCCGCTGCAGAGAGAGACTCAGGGCTCTGGCGTGGGACGGACGAGCTCTGACCCCAGGCCAGTGCCCCCAGGCCCTGTGTGACCTGCCCGCCCAGGTGCCCTGCTTCTGGGGCACAAAGGATGATGGGAGGGGAGCCCCAAGTTACCTTCCTGGTTCCTTGAGGGGCGCTTCTTCCTTCGCTTGCCCGTCCCCTTCGAGGCTCGCTCCCGGGTCCTGGGGAGGGTGCCGGACCCTGAGGAATCCATCGCTGCGTCCTCTGAGAAGGACCTGTCCAAGGACGTGTCCAGTGCAGAATCCGGGGCTGTGTCCTCCTGGTCCCCGTCCCCAGCCATGCCGGGGCCTGTGGCACCGTGGCCACGCGGGCCTGTAGCCTCCGGCCTGTGGACGGTGCTGTCGGCCTCGGCCAGGCAGGCGTCCCGAGGGCCTGCGGGGTCTTCAGCATCTTGGCTTGACCCCGTGGCCCCAGGGGGCTTGTCACCAGAGACCCTGAGAGGCTTTAGGGCCTGAGCCCCTCCCAGCACCACCGGCCAGGCCCCCGCAGAGGGCTGGGGGGCCTGGGGGTCCTCTGCGGCCAGGAAATCGCTGGCGTCGGTGTACCAGGAAGAACGCCTCCCCAGGGGCCCGGGCCCCTCCTCCTCCGATGGGTCAGCAGTGGGCTGCGGGCCGGGGGCCGTGGCATCCACGCGGTCCCTGCCGTGGGGTTCAGAGGCGGGGTGGCTGGTGTCTCCTGCAGGGTCTCTGGTGGCCACTGTGGACACAGGACATGGCCGCTGAGGGTGGGGCCCAACTCCCAGGCCAGCCTGACGGCGCCCCCACTTAGGGTGTGCTGGAGCGGGGGGCCTCCCTCCGTATCTGCTTCTACCGGAACGTCCCCGTTCCGCAGCACCCGCTGCCCCAGGAGGCGTCCCCGGTGGCCTCCAGGTGGGGGTTCCCGGAGAACAGCCCTCGGCATCCACTGTCTGCCCCGGGGTGTGGGCCTACTTCACCCCTGTCCCTCAGCCCCCGTGGCAGCCATGCAGAATGGAGTGCAGCGCCCCGCCCTGCCCCCCTCAGCACCCCTGAGCCCCAGGGACGGATGTCAAAGGCCCGCTGGCCCATCTCTGGCCAAAGGCCCGCCTGGGGGCTGTCACACCCGCGGGGAACCCTCTGTCGTGGCAGAGACACCCCAGCACAAGAAGGGTGAGCCGCTCCTCTGGCCCCACCTCCCACGGCAAGGGAGATGAGGGCTTCCTGGAGGAGGGGAGGCTCCGGGCAGCGAGGAGGGCGGGAAATGGCGATGAGGAGGTGGGAGAGGGTCTCACCAGGCACCTTGTCCCTCAGGGGGTCTCCGGCAGCCGCCTTGCTGCCCCCCTCCGCATCCCCTCGGCCACGGGCCGTCTTGCGCAGCTGGAAACCCTTCCTGATGTCGGCCAGCAGGGCATCGATGACACACACGTCCTCTTGCTTCCCGACTCCCCTCCTGACTGAGAAGCCCCAGGGACCCTCAGAGACGCGGCTCGTGGGGCCCCCCGAGCCCGCCCAGGGGACCTGGAGCCTGGAGGCGTGGGAGGTGCCGCCGGGTCTCCAGGGCAGGAGGAGCGTGGGCCAGATGCAGGCGCAGCCCCGTGGGGGCTCCCCGGGCCCCTGGCTGGTGCCTGGCCTCACCGGGCTTCCCATCCTCGCCCCGTGGCCTGCACGCTTCCTCCTCGGCCAGCTGCTGCTTCCTCCTCTCCGCCTTCGCCGCCTGCTCCTTCCGGTCCTTGTTGTCCTGCGCGGGACCAACACGGAGCCCGTGACCCCAGCCCTCGGCGGCCGTCCCGCCTGAGGTCCACAAGGGGCTGCGGGCCCACCTTCAGGGCGCGGAGGAAGAGGTTCCGGAAGGTCTTCATGGTGCTGAACGTGTCTTCCAGGGAGAGCTGCTGAGCGTCCTCACACAGGTAGCTGGCCAGCTGCAGCTTCTTCTGCTCGATGGCCTGGAACACCTCGTCCAGCGCCCGGGAGGCCTCGATGCTGGCCTGGGGGCGTGGGCACACGGTCACGGCCCTGGGAGGGCCCCTTGGGGGGGGGGTCCACCTGCCGTCACAGGGACACAGCCCGGGAGGGTGATGGCCGCCAGCACGGGCCCCCACAGGCAGTGGTTTCTCAGTGGGACCAGACAACTGGGTACCGCGGCCCCCGGGGAAAGGAGCTGCCTCCGGACCAGGGACAGCAGCGCCGCCCTGCCGCGGGGCCCCTCGCCCTGGCCCCGTCCTCCCCCACACTCACCCGGCCCTGCCCGCTCCACCCTCCCGGACTGGCCCACTGGCTGGAGGGGCCCGCCCCTGGACACCACCGGGCCATTGCTCCCCGAGCCCAGCCCCGCTCGCCTGGAGGCGCTGGGCGTACTGCTCCTGCACCTCAGGGATGCAGGAGGACACCTTCCTCTCCATTTCCAGAAGCTTCTTCAGGTTGGTGCTGGACTCCGAGCGGATGAGCTCAAGGTTGATCCTGAAAAGTACCCGAGAGTGCGCTGGGGTCAGGTGACAGCCGAGGTCCAGTCTCGTGGAGTCGGTGGGGGCCTCACCCTGCACACCCGTGGGGTCACTGGGGGCCCTCACCGCGTACACCCACAGGCTTCTGGAAGCACATCAGGGCTCTGGGAAGGGCCAAGCGGTGCTGGGGGGATGTGTCAGGACAGCGACCCCCAAAGCCTCGGCCCATCCTCCTAGTCTGACCCTCCGAGAAAGGTTCTGCAGCTCTGAGACCTGAGGACCTCCCATAGCAGCGTGTGCCTGGTGTTGGAAGGCCCGGGCCACCCTCCCCAGGGCTGCCCCTCTGGGCCGAGTGACCCAGGTGGATGCAGCCCCACTTCCCCGGGCCTCAGTTTTGCCATCTGTGCAATGGGCCTTGCTCACGGGCTGCTGTGAGGGTCAACCTTATGAAGGGTGGTGTCGCACTAGCCCCTGGTGTGGCCACGACCAGGTCACTCCCTCCCTTTCGTGGCCTCCGTTTCCTCCCCTAAATCATCTAGGGACAGGCCATCAGGCCATGATGGACCCGAGGTCCTATCCCAGGCCAAAAGCGAGGGTCCCACGGGCATCTGGGGGCCCGGCCTGGTCCAGCTGCCTTACTGGTCAGGACCAGGGGTGAGGGTCCCGGCGTGGGCGAGGCGGGTGGGGGGCACGTACCCCGCTGCCTGGGAGGGCTGCTCCAGGTCCCTCGGAAGCTGCAGGAGGTCCGGGTGGTTTTTCTCCACCTCCTGCAACAGAACGCGTCCGGTGAGCGCCACCGTGGCCCCGCCCAGGCCCCAGGGATGCCCGGGCCCCCGGGGCCGCCCTGCGGGCGCACCTCCAGCACGTGGTGCAGCAGCGTCACGCGGCTCTGCTGGGACTTGGTCTCCGTGAGCTTCAGCAGCGTGCTGATCTTGAAGCCGTCGGCGTCCCCCGTGTGGCTGCCCTACGGGGGTGGGGAGTGAGCGTCCTGCCTCCTGGGGCTGGGGGTGCGGCCGGGGGCGCAGCGCACTTACATAGTTGAGGAAGTTTCCTATCTTCAGGATCAGCTGGCAGAAGACAGGCAGCTGGTGGCTGGTGAGCAGGCCTGCGGGAGGGCGCCAGGGCAGAGGGAGGGGCGGGTGTCGCGAGGCGTCTGAGGCTGCGGCGTGGGGGCAGCACCCCTCGGTCCCCTCCCCCACGCTCCCTCCCGGGCTCAGCTGCAATCCCAGCGCGGACAGCCTCTGGGGCTCGGGGAGCAGGTCCGCCAGCGTTCTCACTGAACCCTCACGACCCTGGGGCAGATGACCCCTGCCCCCTTCTGTCGATGAGGGTGCTGAGAGGAACCTTCTAGAAGGTTGTAGCTGTGACCTCCCTGGTTCTCGGCTAACTGTCCCTTGGGGCGTCGGGGAGGGTGGCCCTCCTGGCCCCGTGGCCAAGAAGGGAGTGGGGGGCCACCGCGCGTGTCTCTGCCCTGTGGCTGTGGTGTATTCCTGCTGATCCCTCATCTGGAGAACGCGGCGAGTCTGTGCACATGTGTGTGCCTCTGCACGTGTGCATGCGTGTATACGTGCACACGTACGTGTGTACCCGCAAACGCACGCGTGCCTGTGTCTGTGTGCGCACGACTGCGTGCGTCTCTGGCGGGCGACCGCTCCCTCTCCTGGTGCCGAGTGCCCCGCCCCCACTCACTGTCGCAGGCGGCCAGCACCAGCTGGGCCTTGGGCTGCACCACGTCCAGCACGACGGCCGTGCCCTCACACAGCAACATGCACTCCACCCGCAGCTGGTAGCTGGGGACAGAGTGGGAGATCAGGGACGGGGCCCCCCACCTGCGGGTGGGCAGCGGCCGGGGGCTGAGACACAGAGCTCGGGGAGGGGTCCCACGGCCTGGCGCTCCAACACGCACTCCTGGGCCTCAGCAGGACGGGGGCAGGGCCCAGAGATGGCACTTCGGACCAGCTCTGCTGCACCGGAGGGCGGCCGCCTCCCTGCGGGGCACCCCTGGCTCTCAGAGCGGGCGGCTGCACGAGTGACCCGTGTGGCGCTCCTCACGGAGTCCTGAGGGAACCGCCTGCACAGCCCCTCTCCCCTCCCCTCTACCCCTCCCCCACTCGCTCACCAGGGAATGCCCAGCAGGAGGAGGTAGAACTGGTCGGCGTTGGCCAGCTTGGTCCGATCCTCCGAGAATGCGCGCAGGTTTTCAACCTGCAGACAGGAGACCACTCCTGGGGTTCCGGATCCCGTCCCTCCCAGGAAGCCCCCTGCCCTGCCTGCACCTGTGTGGACCGGCTTACCGGGGCTGCTCACGCTGCCTCTCCTCCCATCCGGCACACTCCGCGAGCCGGGAGCCCTCCCCCCGCCCCGCCCCCGGAAGGACTAGCAAGTCTCTTTCCCCGACTCACCTCGTGCTTCTCAGGGAGGAGCTTGAGGAGTTGCTTGAGGACCTCCACGTCAAATTTCGTGGTGTCCCCAGCCCGGATCATCGCAGTGACGTCCTCATTGGAGCTGCAGGTGAGAGGGGGTGGTTGGGATGGGAGGAGAGGGGCCTCATGTGGGCTCCCGGGGACCCTGCCAGTCGGGGACTGCCCTCGGCCTGTGACATCTCCGCTGGTCACACCCGGGGCACAGAGAAGGCAAACCACCTGCCTCGGCTGCACAGTAAGGAGGCCGGGGGCCGACTACCACACTCCCTTTCTGCCAGAGCACCCTCCGCCTCCCCCTTCCGGGGGGCTGCTCACGACACGGGCCATATGGTTCAGGCACCCCAGGGAGCTCCCTAGCCGGAGCCACCAGAGGGGTTCCCCGCGGATGTCTGGGTCTCAGGGACGGAACGTGCAGTTCCCAGAGAGGCCTGCGGAGGGCGCCGCAGAGCCCAGCGGGAGGTGCGGGCGAGGGGGCGGGGCAGGGGCGAGGCCGTGACGCCTGTGCCGCTCACCATCGAAACTGCTTCAGGAAGATGTTGAGGTTCAGGCTCTTCTTGGAGTCCAGGAAAGTAATCTGGAAAACACCCCCGCCCTGGTGTTGGTGCCCGGGGATCAGCAGAGGCCCCTGGCTGAGCCCCGGCCCGGCCCCACCTCCTTGGGCTCCTTCCTGGCCGGGGCTGCCACTTGCTCCTTGGGCTTGGCCTCGGGGAAGCAGAAGAGCCGCTCGATGCTGGAGAAGTCCGGCTCCACGACCTCGGCCCCCAGGCTGCTCAGCGAGGCCCACATGGAACTGTGCTCTGTGGACGAGGGGCCCCCGGTCGGGTTCGCGCCCACCCACCCAGCGGCTTGACGG